CTTCTTTCGAAGTTTTTAGCGAAAAATTATTAGGTGCGGAGTGTGCACCGTCCGCACAAATATGGGTCAACCCGAATCCAACCCGTTTTTAAAAACGGGTCGGTTTTCTGGACCCGAACCCGACCCGCTTCAGGTCCGGGTCAACCCGACACAACCCGAATGACCTGTTTCCACTTTCCAACGAACAAATTACTAATTTTCGGATAAAAAACGGGTCAATCTCCTTTTTTTCGGGTAAAAAATGGTTCAAAATCGGGTCAATCTCGGGTTGCTAGGTCAAAAACGGGTCAATTTCGGGTCAAAGGGTTAACCCGAATCCGACCCGATTTTTGAAACGGGTCGAAATGTTGAACCCGAACCAAACCCGTTTTGGGTTCGGGTTGACCCTAACCCGAAATTTTCGGGTCGGGTTCGAGTCGGGTTTTCGGGTCGTGTCAAATATTGACACCCCTTTGAGGAAGTAAACGAGGAGTACATGGAGGGAAGAACCAAGATGAGTCCACGCCCTCCTCCAATCAACTATAAGAGCATTTTACTATAGTTAGAGAATTGAAGAGTAATCAACCTAGAATTGAACAAAATGATAAAAAATATTTTACCACTCAAGTAAGCAATGATAATGAATTAAGCACTAATATAATGATTGATGATAATTTTATTATGGAAACCTAACACTATGCTCTATATATTGAGATTGTAAAGAAAGAGGATGCACAAGAAGAAAAAGTTGAAGACAAAGAGGAACAATAAGGAGGTGAGCTTGTACATAAAGAGAATATACATGAAGTTGAGCTTATAAATAAAGAGGGCAAACAATGAGTTGATGCTTTAAATAAAGATGACATAGAAGGTGCAACATATAGGAGAACTCCTAAGAAAAATAAGAAATATTTAGTTTATGTTTTCAAATATCCATCTTGCAAGAGTATCAAGCTAGTGGATCCATATGTCATTGTGACCTAATAGACAATGAACAATTGTCCCATTTTAAAACTTGTATGACAAGGTTTATAAGGAACTAATTAATATGAATGAACATTTTTACCAGTACTGCATAGCAGCTATTTTTGAAATTATGAAGCTAAAGAATAAAGAGCCTATAAAGCACACATTAGGGGTGTCAATATTTGACACGACACGAAAACCCAACCCGGAAAATCCTGGTTGGACCCGACCTGATTTCAAAACGGGTAGGGTTCAGGTTCCCGGATTCGACCCGTTTGAAAAATGGGTTGGGTTCGGGTTGACCCGAGAGGTTGGCGGGTCAACCCGGAAACCCGCTTAGAATGAGCTGCCCGAGGCTGCCCAGGCTACCCGCGGCTACCCGCGCAGCCACGAGCCCTACCTGACGCTGC